ACAGACATGAGTACCAATATAACGCCACAAAAAATCGAAATTCGATTAAACGTAACCCGCGAAAATTCTAAATTCGCGATACTTTTTGAACACACCTCGTATGTCTGAGACAACGAGCTAAAAAGGGGTCGAAAATTACATCGAACGGATTGAAGTTTGTGAAAATGTGGTGGTGTTTCACATATCAAGGAAAAAAAAATCAAAATTTTTAATAAAAAAAGTATTTTCCACAAAAATGCATTTTTTTTTTAATTTTTTTTTTTTTTTTTTGGAAAATGGAAAATGTTTAACCCTGTAAATTGCATATAACTTGAAAACAACACTACTTGGCTGTTTTTATTTTGATTCAAAATGCCATCGTAATTTTTGAAAATTTAATTAAAACATGTTTTTCCAAAAATAAAAAATAAAAATAATAAAATAAAATTAATAAATAAATGGAAAACACAAGTAAACACATCAAAATTGAATGGTCAAAGGCATAATAATAAATCAGAGCAGAACAATTTTCTTGGCATAAGAAAACAAATACTCAAGATGCGCAAAAAGAACAAAAACAAACAACAAATGAAATTAAATAAAAGCTATTTATTTAAATTTAAATTAAAAAAAAAAACACGAAAATAAAGAAAAATTAAAATGTTATGAATAACAATTGACGCGCTCGAGATGAAACGTCTGCTTCTTATGTATGTACATACACAGACATACACTGCGCGACAACCGATTAGCACACCCTATGCTGCTCGTCTTAGAAACTTAATATCAGGAAAACTAAAAAAGCTTTTCAAATAAATTTTTTCCCTCTTAAAAGAATATATAATTTCACACGAAAATTAATAGAAGTTAGGATACTAGCTTTATTAATAACATTTTAAATTAACGTAAACAAACCTAAGATACAAAATTCACTATTATTTTTGCGACAGCCGATTAGCACACTTTTAACTTTTTTTGAAAACAAATTAATAATGTGTTGAGCCTCCACGGTTTGGTATGACCTCGTATATCCGCTGAGGTAAGGAGTCATATAATTTTTTTTATATAATTGAGTGAAACAGCCTCCCAAGACATTTTTATTCCTTCAATGAGTTCCGCTTCAGTTGAATACTGCCTGCCGGACTCGTACACCTTTCGTGCCAGCCATCCCCAAACATTTTCTATAATGTTTAGGTCGGGAGAGTATGGCGGCCAAGTCAGTAATTCCACATTTTGACCATCAATCCAGGACTTTACAATCCTGGCTGTGTGGATAGGTGCGTTGTCCTGCTGGAACTTCCATTTCAAGTGTCCAAAAATATCCTTGATTGCAGGGAAAGCCGTATTCAGTACACCTTTGTACGCAATGGCATTCATACGGCTGGTAAGAAACTGTACTTCTATAGTGCCAAAGTATGTTAAAGCTCCCCACACCATGACACCACCCGCACGGCTGTGCAATCGATCTAAAGTATGCTCTTCCTTTCTGAGATCATGAAAGTAGTAGATATAGCCGTCAGGACCCTAAAAATTGAACTTTTTTTCATCTGAAAATACTACACGCTCCCACTCCTTAGTCCAGGTCATATTTGATCGACAGAAATTGAGTCGTTGCATCTTTCTAAGTTGGTTTATTTATTTGATAATTAGACCCAATAAATAGGTAAATAAAAGTAAAACAACGGTACACTTCCAGAGCTCACGGTTATACTTAGACTGAGCGAAAATGATACAGAATAGTAAAAGGAAAAATAGAATGCGCATGAAACATATTCGGATTAGGGAGTTATTCTCCTTTAAACTGATAGGTTAGAGAGTGTGCTAATCGGTTGTCGCGCAGTGTATGTATGTATATACAATACATATATATGTATGTATGCAGAACAAAAGATTGCAGAAATCCATTGCAAGCGTCACGCCCTCGAAATAATGAAAAGAAAATAAATGAAAAATAAAATAAAAGTAAAATAAAGAAATTAAAGCAATAATTTAAAACAAAAATGTAATAAAATTGCCAATTTTAAGTATTTAAATGCCAGAATCATAAACACACGATGGCTAAAAGTCAAAAAGACGCAGAAAAACGAACAGCAGACCAACTGTAGAGGTTTGACTGGCTCACCGGCTAACAGAAGCTGCAATCTCCGCAGTCTGAACTTCTGACTTTATTACAATGAACATATGTACATACAGGCATGGTCACGCAAATAGCACAAAGTGTATCATACGAGAAAATGTAACTCTTCTGAGGAACATAACGGTATTTTTCTGAAAAAAAAAAAAATGCATAATAGTTACTTATGTTATCTAGTTTACAGTGTGTTTCGTCCATTCCCGTTATCTTAGCAACCGTATTTTTTTCGTCAATTTATCTGATCGAGCTATTGGTTTGTGATGGTCACGCAAATAGCACAGTCATCGGTTGGATCTTGAAAGTGTCTTTTTATTTATTTTTAGTGAAATTTAAATACATTTAAAGTTCAGTTCTATCAAAATTTACGCAGATTGGACTAAAGTGGGTCGCGGTAAACACTGTACTCCTTAAAATAGAAGCGTTATTTATAACATGGCTAAGACAGGGAAAAGTGTTTCAGAAACTGCAGTATATCTATCCCAAAACAAATCCAAGGCATCTGCCCCGCGCAAGACAGCGATTTTTGAAGACAGAGCCAAAATAAGAAAAAGGAAGCTAGATCCTTTTAAGTTGTCTAGGCAAAAAATGCTGAAAATAAAAGAAGAATTCAATTTGACTATATCAAGAAGTCATGTCGGAAGGCTTTAAATAGGGGCCAGCGCTTTGGACTCATTACCCGCAAAAAAACACTCCTGTCAAAACGGCATATAGAAAAACGGTTAAAGTTTGCTAAGACGCCTGAGAACCGGGCGATTAGTTTTTGGAAAAATGTGTTATGGACCGATGAAACTAAAATAAATATATTAAAGCCAGATGGGAAAACCACATTCCATCGCCAAAAAGGTCAAGATTTGAATCCTAGGTACAAAAAAAAAAAGAAACATAAAACCTACAAGCTTTAATATCATGATTTGGGGGGCATTTTCCTGGCATGGCCTGGGACCAATTGTGCGGATAAATGGAAAAATGGACAAATATCAATATTTGGACATCTTAAAGAATGAAATCGAATGATTTGTATTTGACTCCATGCCACTAAATTGGACTTTTATGCAGAATAGTGATCCTAAGCATGCCGCGAAGGTCAGACAAGATTGGCTTAAGAAGGAAAATATTCGTGTTTTGGATTAGCCTGCGCAAATCCAAGGCCTAAACCCAATAGAAAATTTATGAAACGATGTTAAAACAAAAATATCTGCTAAAAATTCGATGATTTGTGGGAGTACGTCAAGGATATGCTACAAAATACTAATAGATAAGACCTACTTAAGACTAATAATGGTATATGATCTGGCATATTTGAACTTAAAATTACAAGTTTTGCAAAATGTGCTATTTGCGTGACCAGAGAATTTCATTAGGAACCTCAAACTTTGAATTATTTTAAACTTTCATTGAATTATTATTAAGTTTTTGAATAAAGGTTGTGTTAAATAATAACTGAATGAACACATCGTTACAATATTTTCATATTTTAAGCACAAATATCCCTTTGTTTCATTATTATGTATCGGAAGGAAAGTTGTGCTATTTGCATGACCATGGCTGTACATACACCCAAGCAAATGTACATAAATATATACTCGTACATAGTACGTGTAGTATAATTATTCAGAACTCCGGCAGAAAATGCGAAGAAAGTCACTGAGTGGGCTGGGCTGTTTTTGAAAATCTCCTCATTTCTTGCACACTTTCGTTTTCCGCTTGTTTGTTGATCAAAAGCAAAGTAAAATGACATAGAAATGTATGTGTTTTTTGTGAATATAATATTAGGTCAAGTAAAAAGTTCGTTCGGTTTTTGATCTAAGAGCTGGCGTTATTGTCCATAGTACTAGTCTTACGTGTCGCATCATGCCATACTATACGGCGCTGAGAACGTGTTTATTTGCGCTAAAAGTTTGTCTTTGACAGTTTTTCGATTGATTGACTCAGTATGGTGTGAGCGCTCTTCAAAGATGGGCACCAGCAAATAGAAAATTCACTATATTTTTTTTGTCTTCGGTCAAAGCGAAGAAGCAGCCAAAGCAGCTGAAAAAATTAATTCAGTTTATGGGCCCGATGCTGTAAGCGAACGTGTAGCACGAGAGTGCTTTCCAAGGTTCCGTTCCGGTAATTTCGATGTCTAAGATGTACCACGCGTCGGGAGGCCTATAGTCGAAAATTGCGATAAAATCATGGAAATAGTGGAAGCAGACCGTCACGTGAGCAATTATTTAATTGCAGAGGAACTGAAGATAAACCAGAAAGCCATGCATTGCATAACCTTGAATTCAAAAAGAAGCTCGATGATGAACCGAATTTCCTTCGCGAATCGCTGCTGAATCGCAACAAAATCGACCCGTTCCTGAAGCGGATTGTGACAGACAATCAAAAATGGGTCACTTACGTCAACATCGATCGCAAACGGTCGTGGTCACAGCTCGGGGAAGCGGCCCAGACGGTGGCCAAGACCGGATTGACGGCCAGGAAGGTTTTGCTGGGTGTTTGTTCGGACTGGCAAGGAACTCCTCGCTGAGAGGCTACTGAAATTAGAAAAATTAATTAGCTATAATTTTGGGTATTGGTCGGGTAATAGGACTCAGGCACTAGCCTTTCAAATGTGAGGGCGCAATGCTAAGCAAATTTAATAATTTATGGCATCGGACGTTTGTTTTATTTTTTTTTTTTTTTTGTTGAAACGTGGAAAGGTTTTGAGTCACCCACACCTTAGCTAATCAAGACGACCTTGCGGACTTTACAGAATTTAAACTAGTTCTAACTGTTGTATTTCTAAAGATTTCATCCAGCTTTAGCTGACTTAACCTTCTAAAGCTTTTAAAGTTTTCGACTTTGTTTTTAACCGAAAAATGTAATAAAATTTCCTTTTAATTTCCCTTCCTTTTAACAGCACCGCAGACGATTGCAAAGCATCAACCGGTGACAAACAACAAAAAGACACCGATGTATTCACCTCCAAGCTTAATTCACTGATGCGTGGCAGTAACGCAGCGAAAGATACGCTCTTCGGTGTTGGTGGTGGCAAGGATGCGGGCAGCGCTGGTGGACCGCCACAAAATTTCGATGCCAAATGTTACATTGAAAATGGTAAAATCAATTTTGGCAAATTAATCACAGACGAAGTGCTCGCAGCCGATTACAAGCTGGTTGAGGCTGCTAAGAAGACGGTGAGTTTTGCATTATTGCATTATTTGCACACACACACGCACACATGTATTTACATATAGAAATATTCTTTAAAATGTTTAAAATGATTATTTAATTTTCTAACGCAGACAAACATTGCCGGCACCACAGCACTCATCGCAATCATCGAAGGCAGCAAACTGACGGTGGCGAATGTGGGCGACTCACGTGGCGTCATGTGTGACGCACGCGGCATAGCGATACCGCTCTCATTCGATCACAAGCCGCAACAGGTGAGGAGTGCCATTTTTTTTTTTTTTTTAATGGAAAAAAATTATACTCATTTGTAAATACTAATTTCTTGCAGGTGCGTGAACGCAAGCGCATACACGATGCTGGCGGGTTCATCGCATTTCGTGGCGTGTGGCGTGTGGCCGGCATTTTAGCGACATCACGTGCGCTCGGCGATTATCCGCTGAAAGATAAGAATCTAGTCATAGCCAATCCAGATATACTGACATTCGACCTGAATGATCACAAGTGCGTGAAGTTACAATTTCTCCATACTATATTCTACACACATATTTACATATGTACATACACGGCCTTGGTTACAGTGTGTATTAGGTTTGTTCAGCTAACGGTTGTTTGTAACGGCATTAAATAACCGAGTTAGAAAGGTACAGAGACTGTATACACTTGGCGATTTGGAACTGCTGAAGCGATTTTCGGTAGAGCTTCTACACCAATTTGTGGTTTTGCGACACCAGGATTTGAGTCCGACCTTCCGAATAGCAGTACGCAATGCCAACGACTCGGCTAGCGCGGTCGCCACTCGGCCATGTCAAGTTTCATGCATAAACGAGACGAATTAATGTAGCCAGGTCTCTCTGTCCGTCCGTCTGTGTACTGAAAATCGGTAAAATCATACCAAAATCCACACCCACTGTCCATATAACGGTAATTTTGAAAAGTACGAAAATGACGATAATTCAATAGCTAAATAAATGTGTAGTGTAGAGGCATATTTGTTGGAGACAATCGCATCAAATGGAAAAATATGAGGAATGGACAACATTTCGTGAGGGCGTGATACCATCCACTTTGTGGATCATAAAGGGTATCACAGAAACTGGATACCGGTGGCTGGACAGAATTATTGGATGAGTGCATAAGTTAGTGCCCGATTCCGCTGGATGCCGTTCGAATCGTTTGAAATATATACATATTATATATCGTTGGAAAGGTGACAGTCCGAACTGTAAATCAAGCATAAAATAACTTCATTTTGATTTGAGTTGCTTAGTGAAAAGACGCATGGAAGATGGACAACAAAAAAGATCATATGCGCCATATTATGTTATACGAATTCCGCAAAGGAAAAACAGTAGGCGCTGCAACTAAAGACATTCGCGAAGTTTATTTGGACCGTGCTCCAGCACTCCGCACAGTAAGGAAATGGTTCGCGAAATTTCGTTCTGGACATTTTAACCTCGAAGATCAACCAAGCAGTGGACGGCCTTCTGAGCTTGATGATGATTTCTAAGGACTTTAGTTGCGAATAACTTACGTATTTCGACGGAAGAGGTTACCAGTGAATTGAACGTCAACAAATCAACTGCGTTTCGTCGTTTAAAAAAGGTTGGGTACACTTTGAAGCTCGATACATGGGTGCCACATTAGTTGAGTGAAAAAACAAAGTGGACCGTAGTCAACAGCAATTTCTTTGCTTCGACGGATCAAAAACGAACCTTTTTTGGATCGGCTCTGATGAAAAATGGATCCCGTACAACAATGTTCAACGCAAAAGAACATGGAAACAGGCACACGAAGGGGCGGAACCGATGTCGAAAGGTGGATTGCATCCAATGAAGGTACTGCTGTGCATTTGGTGGGATATCCGACGCGTGAGCTATTTTGAGCTCTTGCCAGCTGGAGAAAGCAATTGATGAAAAACGTCCGATTTTGGCCAATCGCAAAGGAGTTCTTTTCCATCATGGCAACGCCAGGCCACATGTTGCAAAACCGACCCTGGCCAAACTGAAGAAGATGAATTGGGAAATCATGCCGCATCCCCCATATTCACAATTTGAATGGAAAAAAATTTAAAAATGTGGAAGACGTCAAAAACCACCTTGACACCTTTTTCAACGAGAAACCGCGCGATTTCTATGAATCAGGCATCCGTAAATTGGTGGAACGTTGGGAGTGGATTGCCGAGCATGATGGCGAATACATAATTGATTAATAAAAGCGCTTTCTTCAAAAAATTTCAATTTTAGTTTGCACTTGAAATCGGGCACGAAGTTATGCACTCATCCAATAGTTAAAATTTGATGCTTATAATCCCTTGGTCCAGTATGAATATGAACTGAACTAGGGAGAACAGCTACAACTTTGCCCTAAATAACCTAATAACTTTTCACTTTCCGCCCCAGACTTAACTAAAGCTCGAATATTTAAGACATTAAGCAATGCAGCTCAACCAAACTTTGTGAGCGCACCACTTTAAATGTTCACTAAAGTCCTTCTAACAATGGCTGAGAGTGGTTCAGAAAATGGCCTGGCCTCCGTGTAACAGAACTGACATGGGCCGACAAAAATTCCTGCTCCTTCCTGACAATTTTTCTTTATCAAGTTTAGATGCTGTTTTGACAGATTTTTGATCCGAAACTTCGACATCTGACCAAATCGATTGTAAGGAGGCGTCGGAATTCGATATGAATATGGCTTGGCTGTTGTTGTTGGTGTGCTGCCTATCTAAACAATCTTAGGAGCAATTGAGATTAGTGTAAGTCATCGAGTTCATCTAGTGGTAGATCCAGGAAATGAACTTCTTCAACGGGTACGGACCGAATTCCGCGGGGTAGGCGTAAGAGTTCAAGAATTTTTTTGGGTAAGGCATGCCTGTCATAAGAGGCGACTAACATATAAAACTTCCAGATAGTTGGGTCGGATTTTTGTCCGGCCAAGGAGTGGCACTACAGCAAAATTCCTCAAAAACTACTTTGGGAAATATTTTTGTGGCAACAACAACAGCAGCAGGGGGGTTTGGGAGAGTAGGTTTAAAGAGGTGATATACGTCCGAGATCAAGTCTGTAATAAGTAGTAATTAAGTCGAATACAATGTCCAAATCTTTATTTTGCTAATATTATTTGGCTCTCTCGAGGCAAGCACTTCGTCTGTAATGGCGGATCATTGAATTCCTCGAGCGCCATCCACTGGAAGAGAGTTCAAGAAGGTGTTAACGGACTATCGTCGAATGGCATTTAAAGCCTGTCGGTATGCCGTTCTGTATAGCAGTTATTGTGCGTAGTGCCAAATGGAGTCGTTGTAGTCCCCTCCTGTTTTGCCTGTGTTGAGGATCAGCCTAAAGTAAATGTGTGTTGCGAATCATGCTCCGGTGATATTTTGACGCGGTCCGTAGTTCCATGCACTGACATGCTTGTAGCTTCTTCATCTGCATCGCGCTAGTCCCGCGGCGTCTAAATTAGAGCAGCATAATTTACGACCGGCCGGTCCACTGTCTTGTTTGTTTCGAGCAATATTTATTTTAGACTCGTTTGAATAGCGCCTATAATGACAATAACAAAAACACCACTGACCATGTCCGTTGAACTCATCATTTTGATGGGATCTGCTTCTTCTGCTTTCATGTACAAACAAATATAAGAGTCCGTACATTGAGTGCACTGCGGCCCTCACGCGCATAGGCGGGTGTTGGAAAACCGTTTGGAATAATAATAATAATAATAGAAACAAGCCCAACTACCTACCACATAACCGGACTTCAATTCATTTTCGAAAGTCAGTTAAATCACCTGTCCGTTGGATAGAAATATCAGTCGAGTATTTAATATTCGCTTCCACTCGATCTCAAGTCTTCCTTACATAGAATACTTGTTTTTAAATACAAAACTTTTTATTAAATTTCTATTCTATTTCCCCACAGACCCGCATTTCTTATACTCGCCACCGATGGCCTGTGGGATACCTTCAGCAATGAGGAGGCTTGCACATTTATCAAAAAACATCTGCATGAAAATGATTTTGGTGCCAAAGCGTTAACGAAGGAATCATATCAACGTGGTTCCGTGGACAATATCACCGTATTGTTGGTGGTTTTTCGCAATGGCAACTATCGTATTAGTTCGGCAACAACAACAACAACAACAACGAATGCGTCAGAGGCAACACAAATGGCTAATAATAAAGCAGCAGCAGCAACAGCAGCAACAACAGAAAAAAATGTGAATTTTCCCATAGCAAATAGTGCAGCGAAATTTCCCGTTACAAATTTGACACGCTCAAATAGTGGCGTTGGTGCGAAATAGATTTATCTTTTCTATTTTCTCTTTTGGATTCATACAAAATATATGTACATATATGTATTTGTATGTATGGATAGGTTACATAATCCGTACAGTGTATTTGTAGGTGAAGAATTGAAAAAGGTGGAAAGCCCAAAAATTTAGCGTCTTCTTTGGAAAGAAGTGTACAGCGCATAGACACATATATATATATACATATATATATGTAAGAGTATGTATTTAGAAAGGCAAAAATAAATTAAAAAAAAAACAATAATAATATATGCGTATGTAAATGTATGTGCCCTGTTTATAAAAAAAATGCTGCTGAAGAGCATTTCATTATATTCTAAAACACCATATATGTATGTATGTAACCACAATATGTGGTACATATGTATTATATATAAACCGCTTATATACACCAGATTTATCACATGTATATTTATGTATTTACAATTATTGAAGATTTTATATACATACATACATATGCATGTATGTTATTTAAGTCATACGTATTTGTTTTTGTATATATGAACAACTACAAAAATACAATACATTTAAAAATGCACTGCATTCAAAATAAACAAAATAAAAAACAAATATGTGTACGAAACGCAGTATATATGTATGTATGTACATACTTATGTACACTCAATTGTCTAATTTACGTATAAAGTTTAAAAAACGCTATCTGTTCTCATTTCTTATACTCGCAAACACACACACACACGTACATATATGTATAAATAGTTATGTATTTGTTTATATTTATTATGCTTTGTATTATCTCTCTACTGCTATTTATAAATTTCATAACTATATAAATATGTGTGTAACTGTTTTTAGTTTTTAAGCTTATATTATAATTTAAAGTTTCTTGCGAGCATTATCACTTTATATGAATATACCGTTAGTTACGCACGCACTATCTATCAATATATTAAATATCTTTTCCACTTTCAACTTATTCACCTTTGCCTTGCAAAACAATTATGTCTATATCTATGTATATGTATATCTGTACATACATATGTATGTTTATGCATAAGAATGTAAAAGTAACCCGACTCCTGTTATTTTAATTATACATATAAATAATAAAATATTTTTAGTAATTTTTAAATTTAGCAAAAATACATAAACGAAATGTTAAACGAAAATATGATATAAATATTTGAATTCTTGAAAACATATGTACGTATGCAGATTTTCATTGAAGGCATATGAAATAAAAGGTTATGTGAGAAAGAAAAAAGTATATTTTTCTTTTATTTGTTCATAACCTCAATTTGTTACGGAAGAACGCGAATATTGTTAATTCCAATAGAAATTTCAAAAATCCACTTGCCTAACCTCAAAAGGAAGCTGAATTCATGATACAATAATTTTAATAATATTAATATAATTTAAATTTTTGTTTCATGGCTGAGTTAGTTAAATTTAAAATTCCAAAACTAAACAATTAAAATAACAGGCGCGAAGAAATCATTAGCAAGGGTTAACCGGAGTATCAGGAATAAACAAACTCGCCTAAAAGCGTGCAACGATAAAGGCATTTACAGACTCGAATGTCCACCCACAAAATGCGGCCATTTTGTGAACAAGCAACCTAATTACCCAAAACGGAAAATCCTCTAAAAATACTCAGCATGAAATCCCAAACCGCAAATGCAAAAAAAATCTACACCAAAAGTCCAACGCAGCCGAATATAGTGACACGAGAGAAGAGAAAATACTCCAAATTAGTGTATAAATAATCCCTATATATTTACTATTTTTAATACGCCTTATTACTATAATACAACTAAAGATTAATACAAAACTATACAATTATACATTTTTTTTTTGATTTTTTGACATTTCTTGTTATTTATTTGCTTATATAATAAACAAATCAGCGCTCAATGAATCAACATTTTTTTTTTAAATACAGTACACATTTTTCTTCTCAATACATTCGTTAAAATCACGAATGCCCAATTAATGGGCAACATTTTTGGAAAACGTACAAAATAACTTTGTAATTATAAGTCATGCGCCACTGTATTTAAAGCGTCATACAACTGCTGCTTAATGAGCAGAGACAGAGACTTGCCAAACGCGAATAGTCTTGTCAGAGTAACCAGCGAACAGTGTCTGGCCATCGGTGGACCAAGCCAACGATAAGCATTGTGGTGGATCAGCCTTGGAGCTAGTCGACACAACTTCTGGGCGTAGTTCCTCAACGGTCTTCTTGCATGCCAAATCCCAGATCTTAATGGATGGACCATAAGCAACGCACAACCAGTAACGGTTGGGTGAGAAGCACAGAGCGTTGATGATGTCATTGTGCTCCAAAGTATACAAGTTCTTGCCGTCATTCAAATCCCACAACAAGGCTTTGGAGTCCTTGCCACCGGAAGTGCAAAGGGAGCCGTCAGGAGAAACAGTAACGGTGTTCAGGTAGCCATTGTGGCCGTGGTGGTTGTTCTTCAACTTGCAGTTGGCCAAATTCCAGACCTTGACGGTGCGATCCCAACCGCATGAAACAATGATGGGGTTGGAGTGATTTGGCGAGAAACGTACGCAGGATACCCAATCGCTGTGGCCATCTTCCTGGATGGTGAATTTGCACTCAGCCAAAGTGTTCCACAACTTGATGGTCTTGTCCCGTGAGCCTGAGACAATTTGACGATTGTCAGCGGAAAAGGCAACGGAGAGCACATCCTACAAAGAAAGAGAAATTAATATTCTATGTCTATAAATTACACAAGCTTAAGATATTTTAAGAAATAAAAATATAACTTATAACCATTTCCAGAAAACATAAAATATAACCACTTGAGACTTACAATGTACCGCCTTGCTGTTGCGGTGTAGCTGTTCCCAGAAGGTGCTCCACGACACTCAACCAGAATTCTGCCTCGCATAGGCACGTATGCTATTTTTAGAGTGGTGCTATACCTACACATATATGTATATGTATACACCTGCTTTGCTAGACCAACTGAACTAACCAAATTCCTATCAGCTAAAATATTTGCAACATTGCACTAACAAAGCACCACTCTCTACTACTTTCAATTTTAATTTAGCCTGCTTTACAAATTTTTTTTTCATGACTCATTAAGGCCCTGCAACAACTATCTATGCTACACAAATGTTTGACATAAAATTGTGACATTTCGCCCCACCTTGGTGTGATCTTCGAAACGACGAGTGGTCTTGCCAGCAGCCAAATCCCACAAGCGGAGAGTTTTGTCCCATGAGCCAGACAAAGCGTAGTTACCATCGGATGACAGTACAACGTCGCTCACGAAGTGAGAGTGACCATACAGACGCTTCTGTGGGAAACCGTAGTTGGTGTCTTCATCGCGGGTCAACTTCCATACGATAAGGGTCTTGTCTGCAGGCAAAAGAATAGAATATAATTAGCCAATTTTATTTAACCATAAAAATATATGATCGCAGAAATTTAATAAGATTAAACAAAACATTTTCTAACCAATTGGCAATACATAACCTCAAAAATATATTTATTAACTAAAGTGAAAAATACTTATGCTACTTACCACGAGAAGCTGAGATGATGGTATCGGGATCCTTAGGGTTGGTGGCGATTTGTGTAACCCAGCCAGTGTGTCCAACAAGGGTACCGCGTAATTGCAAAGTCTCACTCATTTTCAATTATTTTATAAATTTTCCTGCGGAGCGCAATGAAAATACAACTTAACCTTTCGAAGGTTTTTTGGAAAAGAAATTTAAGAAGGAAATTCGTTTAGCTCGAGTGAACTTGGCTGCGTATCTATCTTCGATTCTTGCCCTACAGATGTCGCGCTTGTCAGTAGTGTGGGATAAAATGTTTCAGGTCCGTTCGCCACGAACAAAATGTTAAAAGACAACTAAGCCTTCATTACACCTATTCTTTTTGGCTCAGTGAAAAATGAAGATTATGAAATATTTTCAAAGAAAATTAGATACGAGGAAAACATTTTCAAATCCAAATATTTCAACTTTTATATATCAGCATTATTTAATTAATTTGATCTTTCTCTTTCAGGGAATTTTTCTCTTCCAGAGTTATACCTCCACCATACTGACTCAACTCAGATCCGGATATTGTAGACGACAAAACTTCTACGCATCCAGACTTGACCCCGACATACCCAAAGTACGTACTTATATGCGCAATGGGTTACCGTACAACAATAACTACTTCTTTACATTCCATTAACTCATCTAACATCTCTTTCCTCCTGACCCAAGCCCGTCGAAACAGTTCGTTTCCTGGACCTCTCATTAGATGACCTCAATTACTTAGACTGATCTTGCTTGCTCCTAAGCGGGGCTAGCGGATCGCACAACGAAAAACCGTCAGAGTTACAGACATTACGGTACTAAAAACTCATATCCACATCTAGAAAACTTGATATGAACGTTTCGGAAACAAGACTCGTTCCTGAAGTAACAATTGATCCTATAAAATATCTCTTCTTTCAAATTCTGGCAGAGGAATTTATGATCAACGTAACGACGAAGTTCTATAACTAAAAAAGTCCAATATTTCTTCTTGTGTAAACAAACCACCAAAAATTTTTCCAACGCCTCTCGTAAATATCTCGAAAACTCAGATTTAGCTGACTACCCGAAATGACCCTTGAAATTACACTCCATATTTACTTATTTAGTGTAGTAGGTACAAGCAAACAAAAATATATTTTACATGCGTCCACCAACTGATGAACAATGATGAAGTGCGTTCAACACCTGAGCTACGGAAAAAACTAGCTCGCTCGTTTATTTGATTGCATGTGCTCTGCCGCTGCGATGCCCGATTCCGTGCAATTCTCGATAATACAACAGTCATCGAGCTCTATTTATACCAGGAACACAGCGCTCTAAGTAGGCAGAAAATCATCAAACTGGTGGCCAACTCATCGAATGAGATTTAGCGCCAGAAACAGATATCGAGCTGATTGCGAAACGAATCGATAGCCCACCAACAACACAAACACACAAACATACAAACGAACATAGCAGATATAACGAAAGAAACAATAATGGCAGCCAGCAAGCTAGCGACTTTGTAGCGCCGATAGCCGTCGTCGTTCGTTGGTTGCTTTCATAGCGACGTCTTTTTTTTTGTATCTGCTACTATCTGAAAAATACATGCGAGCGCACACGTCGCTTGCCAAGAAGTACCAAATTTCCAATACGAATTCCGCGCATTACCGAGATGCCTGAAATCGCAATTCCATACTTTTAGGCACGTCAGCGAAATTTTTTCACAGGCAAACAGCTTCATGGCACAAGCGAATTCGCGCCAAAATAATTAAGTTTAGCAAAAAGCAATGCTCGCTCGTTCAACCTGCTTGGCCGCACGTTGAATTCGTGGCAATTGTTGTGTGACACTAGCGCGTCATAGTCAACCAACATAACGAATGACTGCTTTGTTTTGTTTGTCAGATTAGCTGTGTATGAGGTATTGCGTGAGTTAGAAAGAGATGACAGCTGGTTTTGGCGGTGCTGAAGGTGAGTTTAGTTAGTGGACTGTTCGCAATAGTGTTGCATTGTGATTTGGCTACACGGTCATGCTGTGCGCCTATTATTTGGGAATCAGAATTCAAAATGTTTTGATATTCTTTTGAAACTTGCAGTGTTGCTTGCGCGCACACACAGGGCAACCAAACAGCAAAAGACGACAAAACAAACAGGAACTTGGTGGTTTCGAGCGACAATTTTGTTGCTGATAAAGGAGGAGCAGCGTCAACTTCCGGCAGTAGGCAGACAAGTTACTTTGACGGCACACAATTTAAAAATAAATGCAGATATAAAATTTAAAGTTGAAGTAAAAGAAATTGCATTGATTGATAGTGCATTTTAGTCACTACAGTCGCACCTAAATTTTCAATGCCCACGAGAGACACACTGTTGTTTCAAAACTTTGGACATTCACAACAATGCACGACAGTACGTACATTCAGGCAGTGAACTGGAAATGAAATATTTTGATTCGTTTTTAACGTGGACGCGCACACAACCAGACGCCAGCCATATTGGCAGGAAATAGTGGAAATAGTAGCGAATTCGTTCCATTTTAGGAGCCATTTTCGACTGCTCAGCGCAGCAGCAGTGGCGACAAAACTGTGAACACACCGCACAAATGACATCCAGTGTTGCGTTTTCACTGTGACTGTTCCATATTGTCTGCAACTTTTTACTTTCAACTGATATTTTAGCTTTATTTTTATCCGGCGCTCAGGGCAAAGCAGCGCGCAAACCAACACTTTTGATGTTCCATTGTATTATGGTGAACACTTCCATGCTGTTTTGTCGATTAACCATTGCTGCCAATGTTTTGGGTACGTTAACATGAAGATGAGGTGTTTTCTTTGTGATTTTTGAGAAAATTATTATCACTGAAATTGCGGAAATATGAGTTTAATCTTAAAACGTTAAGATAATAGAACAAAGTGGATGATAACCTAACCTATAAGTTAGTTCATAGTAGATGAAATAAAAATAACCAACACTAGTGACCCAATTGCTAAAATAAAGTCATGTTTGCTTATATATCCACACGCATATGTGCAAACATATCTAAATATGTACATATGTACAATAAGTTGACACAACTGATTATTTACATACATACGAGTTATGTGAATACAAAAAAAAACTTGCAATGAGCGTGCGTTGATTAAAGGTAACCAGACAAAATTAAAAATAATAAATTTAATTGAATTGAAATTAAATTACTGTCAATTTTACAAGTTGGTGAAACAGCGCTGCTTATGTCATTATGAGTAGAAATGGGTGCTCCAGCCTTTGTAAGTTCTTGTCTTATGGCAAATGATATTTTCTAGGCTTACGCTTGGTTTGTAAAAAAACTGCTTTCATGGAAAATGGTTTAATTAAAAATATATGTATTATATTGGCATTTTGAACTTTCAAGTATAGTATCCAGCTTGCATTTTGTTTTTGCTCCGTTACACATTGTGAATGATCTATAGCAGAAGAATAAGCTATCATTAAAATTAATAAATAAATTTTCTTTCAATTTCTGAATTAAATTCTTATTAAATTTTTTGCCGGCTGCGTAAAAATGTTTATATAAGCAATTTTTTGCGTGTATCTTTGAAGCTCTTTTTGAGAGTGCTTTGATTTTCTACGATTTAAAAAAAGCTATCATTAGTTGTATGGTCAATATGTGGAGTAATATGCTTAAACTAAACCTGCACGGATTTTAATTAAGTCTCTTCACACAGAAGAGCTCTTCATAGCAATAAACCTACATTCAGAGGCAAATGCATACTTCTGTTAATATATTAAATAATTTATTTAAAGTGTTCAATTCAATTAAACGTTGATCACAAAACACTTGAATATTTGCTAGGCATTGAACTTGAATACAGTACGTTACAAAAGTGAGGATATACAATACAATTCAAAAGTGAAAATATACGTATTAAATGTTTGGCTTCATTTTCGGTATTTCAAAAAAAATATATATATATATTAATGCTCTTTATGTACTAGCTGCAAGCAATTGTTGTACATATGTACATATTCGTATATAAAAATATAAGAGCGTAAATTGGCGTGCAAAAAGTCATAAAATATGCCAGACAAAATTCTCTCAGAAACTATGTTTGTATGTATGTGCTTTTGTACTTTTACATTTGGGGTTGAATGTACATTTGTATGTACGTAAACTGTGATGACATTGCGTGAAAGCGCCAAAGAACAAGATACCCACACATAATTACATACTCATGTGCTTGTGCGAGTACGTTTATATGTACACACGTATGTAAGTATATATTGCCGGTGCAAGTGATTGCGCCAGTATCTGTTCAGTTCAAGCACGTTTACCGATTGTGGCGGTTTTAGGAGCGGAATTTCAGATAATTTTAGTGCGATAAATTATTATTTTTTTTCATTCTGTGACAATTATCGTCAGTGAATTTTAAAAAGTGTCTCCTTATTTTGAAAAGTGTATGACTTAAAATTTCTGTGTAAATTAAAGCAATTAATCCTCATATTAATTAAAAGAAAAATATAATCTTATAAATATATAAAAGTAATAAATAAGCACAGCGATTGAAAATTGATTGTAACTTTATTATTACCTGTGTAAATGATCAAGCTTTTATACATAATTCGAAATTGTTTTTGAAATAATACAATAAAAATGTCATTCACTTGAGTTTTAGCAAGCACAAAAATTCAATTTTCGCAAAAGCTAAATGTAAAACGTGCCATTATTCGTACTCGTATTCCAATGCCGTGCAGTTATCTCACTGTCAACTCGGCAATTGGCGCCAACAATGCACTGAAATGTAATGTTGTTGTTGTTTTATTGTATTGCCAGTTAATGAGGGAATTTTCTCAAACTAATCGTAGAATATTAATACATTTTTTTTTATCGGGTTTTAAAATGTAAACATAGAAAAGTTATTTTATATATTTGTTGGTATGTACATATGTTTGTATTGGCTGATGAAATATTCTTTTTAAATTGCATGGAAACCTAGTGCTACATATAGTTCTACATATGTATACAAGTAGATTTGTATCCATTGTCTTGTGTATATATCCATATGTACATACATTTACGACGATTTTGTATTATTGCATTTTAAATACAAGGTGACCAGGTGAAAAATCTCAATTGGTTTGACATTAAAATTTTATATTTTAAATTCAGTGCAAAAATACGTTAAAAATTTAGTTTTTGACAGCGGCACACAGTTAACCATTACATTCTGCGCCGTGGAGTAGAGCTAAAAGATGTGTTTGAGTGTTTATTGCAGGATGTGCTTAATTGCTATCTTTAGCTTATAATAAGTCTGCGTATAGTTATCTCTACAAATGAAAGCACCGACAATATTTGGCTCCATAAACATTCGTATCATTTCTTTATATAATATTTATTAAGACAGATATCCCAAATAATGTTTATCTGAAAGTATGTTTACTAAGTTCAGATAACAGTGTATCGGCGCGAGAATGATTTCTAAATACTATTTTATTTAACCAAAACATTCAAAAGCCGTAAACTTTTATCTTTGTAGTTTTTAATTGTATATTATTTTTTTTTTAAATAACATCCGTGCTTAAAAAATAGTGACGCCCTAAAGTGCACACACGAGGGTTTGGAAAATGTACAACAAAGAAAGAAAAAGTAATAATAATAATTCCAGCGAGGGAGGACGAATTGTTTATATCGGCAACGAGAACTAACACGACGGTTAACATTGACACTCAATTCGCGGCGCTCTATTGGTGGCTCTTCTTATATGCAAGTACAAACATATATATTATATGAAAATATATGCTGGTGGTTAACACAACAGATGTGTCGCTCGCTCTAAGTGCATTTGTTAATCACATTAAAAAAATAAAACATACGGCTGTACGCATGTCCATAACGAAAGAATGCACATAAATATTTTGCTATTAGGGTGAAACCAAAAATGGATTTTTTTTTTCGAATAAATATATTACTTAAATTTGCATATATACATTTGTGTGTATGTATATCGAGGAAGTGAAAAGACTACAATTTCTCCATGTCCTAAAAGGGGTTGGAATGGGTGACAGCCCTTGTACATATATAATTGGGGTTTTGTAACCGCTGCAGCGACTTTCAGCCGAGCTCCTCCTATAATTTTTGGTATGCATCTTGTTGTTTTTCCAAAAAATGGAGGGACCCATAATTTATGCTAAGCCGCCTCCGAATGGAAAATATACTCGCAGGGCTTGTCATTCCCTGCCGAGGGGCGACCGCAATTGGAAAAATTAATTTTCTATAATTTTGAATGTTCGTCGTTGTATTTAGTATCTTTTGCAATGCCAAACCTCTCGGTTATTGCGGCCGCCCTTGGGCGTATAAATTCCAGGTCAATTTCTTTAGGTAAAATCGGCTTCATTGCATGACAACTACAGCTATAACCTGCAAAATCTTAGCTACCCTTTTTGCCAGCTGAACAAAGGAGTACCGTGAATGTCGATGGCGTAAAAATTCCGACAGCTAACAACTCAAAGATACCGGGTATCACATACGACAGCATGAACTTCTTTCCTCCACATACGACTGCAGTTGCCAACAAAGTACAGAGCAGCAACAAAATCTTCAAATCGTTAGCACCAGGGAAAAACAAACGTTGCATGTAAGGCAATTGACCGGCCGGTCGTAAATTAGCTGCTCCGACGACGGGAACTAGCGAAATGCAGATTAAGAAGCCTTTAAGTCTGTCCACATCTTCTTGAAATCTCTTCCAGTGGATGGCGCTCGAAGAATCCAATGATGAGCCATTACAGACGAAGAGCTCGGCTCGAGAGACCCGAGTAATACTGGCACAATTAAGTTTTGGAAATTGTATTCGACTTAATTATACTTATACAGACTTGATTCCGATAAACCCAACATATGTTTGCATGCAATGAGACCCCGCAGGATTCTAAGCGTCTCTCTGCATGCCTTCAACATATTATACATATAGTATTAACAAAGTTTGAATCTTATGCCCAAAGAAAGGCAGAAGTGCTCATTCAGCTGTATGGTAGGGACATACATACATGCTTCAATCTGTGCCTATAGCTATGCTACTTAAATAATTGAAAAAATTGAAGTTCCAATTGGGAGTGTATTGGAAGAAGCTCAGGATACTTCTAATAAAATTAAAAATAATAGAAAAGCCTGACTTCTCAACAGTAGATGCATCTTTAGAGTGGCTAACAAGCAGGATGTATTAAATCATCTCTTGACTTCTTTGGTTTCGGCTTAAAAATATATAAGAAAAACAACACCTGACTATTTTACAACCAAATTTTTTGTTTTTTTGAACAAATTTTTAAAGTTTTTCTTTATTTTTTTTTGCGCTTATTTTTCACATTTTTATTGTCATAAAATTTTTTAATTTCATACATTTTTATGCCACCCTAATTTTGCATTTAGTATCTTTTTAACGGCATGTGTTCGTGCGCATGGCTGTCGCGATATGAGAAAATTTGCACGCTAATGTGAAAATTCCCTCGTAAAATTAATGTTAAATACTTTGAAAATGAACGTGGGGAATAGTAAGAATGTAGGGTATTCCAGTAGGAGTTTCATGCAAGGTCAACCAGAAAAAAAGATAACAAGAATTGAAAAAAAATTGTATTTTTTATTTATTTTGCTTAAAAAATTTAGTTAGTTTATGTCATTAATTAATAATGGAATTTGACTTTAATAATGGAATTTAAATAATAAAAAATTCTTAACATAATTTAAATATAATTAAAATTATTACTTGTTTAAATCACTTTTGAGCTGAGGGCTCCACTATTAACTGATAAGAGCGTAATAATAATAATATATATATATAATAATAATATTTCAGGCAATATTTAGCGCAAAATAACAGTAAAGATCAAACTCATCGAAGTTTGCAAAAATTCGCGGTCATTTAAAGGAACTAGTGTTTCACATACATGTATAAGGTTAAAGTATAAGTAGGTATAAAAAAATATTTTAAAATCATTTTATTTACGTTTGTCACTAAATCGATACATGTACATATATTTATTATTATTTTCTATAAGCCGTTCTCTTCTTTCTCTTGAGTACAAAACACTATATGAAATGCAATTTTCCCTGCAGGGTTTTCCAATATAATACATTTGTTTGTATGTAACTTTTTTTCTTCTTTTATCTGACTACTATTTGACAGTTGACTTGAATTTTCGTTTCATTTATGGTAAAACTGAGTGCATTTTCCGACCAATAGTTCAGTTCTCGCTGCGAGCTACAATTGGATGGTCGCAAAATTGGCTGACGAAAATTGTGAAAACGTGAAAATTGAAATTTGCTACAAACTATAATGGCAATAAAATTTTAAAATAAATAATTAAAAATAATATAAATTTTTTTTTTGGAAATTACAAACAGAAACAAATTAATAATAAGAACAATAAAAAAATTAAAATAAAAAAATACTATTTATTTTCAGTGTCACAATTATTCGCGTAAAGTAAGCAAAAAAGAAAAATAAAAAAAAAATTAATATTTAATAAACATAAACCACAAACACAAGTGCAGTGCATTAAAATGACAGAGCGTTATGCTAATGGTGTTAGCACAACTCTAGTGAATAAACCGCAACCTGTTGCAGTCAATGGTGGCGGTGCTGCTGCTGCTGCCACGGCCAACGGCCATGCAAACGGCAACGCGGCGGCAATCGCAGATGCTACTGCTGACGATGGCGATAAAGTCGTATTGAAACGTAAGCTGACACTAATGAATGGTGTGGCCATCATTGTCGGCACAATTATTGGTTCGGGCATTTTTATAGCGCCAACAGGTGTCTTCATCTATACAGAGTAAGTGGTCTACTTTTTATTTAGTTTTTTTTTATAATTTGTTCGAAAAGTGTGATTTGAAGCGAAAGCGTAGTGTAGTCGATTTAGAATTTATTTAACTGACTATTTATATGTTTTATATTTTTTAATTTATATTAATTTATTTTCGAAATATGTTTTCGCTGAAATATGACTAAATGAAAATGTAGACGAATATGTAATATTATGCAAAAACAGTGAAGAATATTCTCGGTTCATTGCTCCTTAAGATAAACGAGTACAAGCTAACTGTAAGTATGTATGATGATTTGGGTTTCAGAATTTGGGCGCCGTAATTTGATTCATTTTAATTTAATTTAATTTTTATTTTAGTTTTTTTTTTAGTTTTATTTTATTTTCCTTTTTTTATATTAAATTTTAACAAAAATATAAATACATATAGTCCAGTCGAGTGAAGAGCTTAATTTTATAAATAACAGGTGTACAACTTTGCTTCCGTCGTTTTCCGATAGGTTGCTGTACCGGCTGAGGCTGGTTGAAATACATAGATGATAATGCCTTTGTCATCGCCGTTTCAGTGACAGTTGTTCTTGTTTTCGTATTATTCACGCTCGAAAATGTCCGTTTATGTGTCTAATTCTCGCCATTTGCGGGAAGTTTTACTTTTCTGTTACAATTCGAATAAAAATGCAGCTGAAGCGCATCGAATGCTCTCAGAAACTTACGGTAATGCTGCTCTGAGTGAAAGATCGTGTCGGAAGTGGTTTCAACGTTTTAAAAATGGTGAAGACAAACATGGTGGTGGAAGAGAAAAAACCTTCAGAGATTTACTACGAGTGGAACCATCACAGGAGATCGCTACCGATCACAACTGATGCGCCTTAGTCGCGCGCTAAAAGTAAGCGGCCACAATATCAAGAGCGACATGACAAAGTCATCCTCCAACACGACAATGCTCGGCCTCACATCGCAAAAGCGGTCAAAAAGTACCTGGAAACGCTGAAATGGGAAGTCTTGCCCCACCCGCCGTATTCCCCAGATGTCGCCCCGTCTGACTTCCACCTATTTCGTTCGAAAAATTGGAAAAACGGATTGCTTCATGGATAGCGTCAAAAGAGGGCTCCTTTTTTCGAGCCGGGATCCGAAAATTGCCGGAAAGATGGGAGAAAGTTGTCGCTAGCGAAGGACAATACTTTGAATAATATATCTGTAAGCACTTTTTCGCAATAAAGCTTTCAATTTTGGGAAAAAACGCCGGAAGCAAAGTTGTACATCTGATAAAATAATATAAAATATAAAATAAGAAAGCAGCGCTCTTCTCGGTCATGCCGAGTCTTTACACAACTCATGACTATATCATTATTTCTTATATATGGTTGTATATAAGCTACTACGAGTGGTTGGCGTACAAACTGGGGGACAGACGAACATTGCTAAATGAGCTCAGTTCGTCATTTTGATCATATCGGTACTTACATACAACGGACCTTTTATGTTCTTGAAAGGTATAAAAATTTGTTAAGATTTAGCTGTAAACTACAATGCTTCCTTGAATGTGTGGAAAATGAAACACTGGGAATCTTTTTATTATAATTACACAATACCTGTGGGTATACAACATTCTTACCTTTACCTTCGGCCGCGCCAATAAAAAGTTTGTCTGGTTTTGCCAAACCCTAAACTATGCACCATATGCGAGGCAATCCCTTTCTAAATGTGGACCATATAACTCCACTGACCATGAGCTTTGCTGACAATGATTGCAAACGCTAGTCGAACAGGAACCTATAGAATTTAAAGGAAAGTTCGGAAGAAATTTCTTAAGCTTTTTACTATAAACGTTGGCATAGCCGCTTTTGTGGCATTTACTACTCATTATGCCATCTTTAGAAAATATCTCTGCAACCTAAATGGTTAATCATTCCCTCTATTCGATGAGTGTAGCTGTTTTCTTGTGCAGAGGAGCAAACTCAGATCAAAAAAAACAGATCCAGCTCTTCAACTGATAGTTTTTAAGCAAAATTTAGGATTATTTATGCCTTATTACTTCTTAATTGAACAGTTCAAAAAGTAAAACCAATAGTTCTGATGAATAGAAGTATAATTGGAAAGTTCAGCAACTGAGTAAGAAGGCTAAAATCATGATATCATGAAAATCCTAGATATTGAATGGTAACTATCAAATGTGGTTGCAAATCTGTTGTGGTTCCGAGCTGCTTCTACGGCGAAGGAATCAGATGTAATGTCGCCATATGCTGAAGAGTAAATGTCACTAAAATGGATATTCCATCAGGATAACGAAAATATAAATACCTCTAATCAATGTAAAATCTGATCATATAGTCAAATTCTTAAGGAATCTTAGAATCCGATTAAGAACTATTTGGAGTTTGTGATTTCGAAAATTCATAAGGAAAATTGTAAAAACTATTTAACATATAAGGGGTTTCATAGTAGGTCTTGAAACTTCAAAAAATTCATTTTTTTTTTTTGTTAATTTTTCGTATATAAGTACAAAGTGTCAGAAATATTTTCCCCAAATTTCAAATCGATTAGAAATATTTTTCTCAAGTTTCAAGTCGATGAGGCGAAACTGTAGAAATTAGAGAGTTTTATAACCCGCCGTTTTTGTCATGGCTTGACCGATGGCGAAACTTTCAACACGTTTTCTTAAAAACACTTTATCGAAATCGGTAGTCAAAATTTCTCGACGACTATTGAAGCAATTGAGTTCGAATTTTCTACACTTCTTTTAAGCATGTCTTTGTAGTCGCTGAACGAAGGATTTATTTTGTCTTTGATTTCAACTCTTTATAAGCCAATATGTGGCCTAATTTTATGCAAAAAATTATTTTTTTTTTTGTAAAAATCGCAACAAAAAATTCAATTTTAAATTGTATTAATTTTTCTACGTTCAGGGACAAGGAAAATTCCCCTACTTTAAGAAAAATTTTGGATTTTTGATTTCAGATAAAAATTGAAAAAGTTATCACGACTACCCCGAAAGCACTTTCTTGTGGACGGTCTACTTCACGACACTGCCAACGCCTAAACTTATACTATTTTTCATTTAAATTTTCATCAAATGTTGTCCACATATTGTACTTTTATATTTAAACAAAATAAATTGTATACTTTATTTAGTATCTTTTAAAAAAATTAGGGAAAATATGCTTTTTTTTGACCTTCAAGACCCATGTAACCCCTTAATTGAGAGTAAAATGCTGTCTTTTTTTATTATTTTTTAAGTTGAAATGGTAAGAAAACACAGGGTACAGATTACTGCAGTATTAACTTATGAGTAATCTAGCTTTGTTTGAAAAATATTGAGGGGTATACTTTAGATTCGGTCAATATTGTATATGTGACGGATTCGCGCTCAATGTTGTATTGAATAGTATCGTTGGAATAGCTCACATATTCAGCCAGCTTTACTGACTATAATGTAATGCATCTGGAAGTCCAATCACTGGCGTAAAAATACATCGGTGAAGGATTATTTTGCAATGTTGAATATTTTAGGCAAGCAATAAACCCGTCGGCCACAGTAGCCGAGTGGTTCAAACATTGCCCACTACCATTCTGAAGACCTGGGTTCGAGTACTGGCTCAAACACAATCTAAAATAATAAAAAATTAATTTTTCTAGTTACGGTCACCCCACTGCAGGGAATGTCCAGCCCTCCGAGTGTATCTTTGACATGCAATGAAGGCTTCTCATAAAATTCCTTCAGCTGTTCGAGGAAGTTTAGAATAAACTGTAAGTTTCTTCATTTGTTGGAAAAATACCAAAACGGTTCACTTTTCGTAAACAATACAGCAAAAATACGATTTTTCCTAATAAGCCCACTTCTAGGAACCATAGAAACAAACGACAAATTTTTAGTATAATCTGGCGGTTAGTTTCGGAGATCACAGTTATTTGCATGCAAACCAAATTTTAATATATCTAAATATGTACGAGTTATACATATGTATGTGTATATAGTCGAGGCTGCATCGTAACAATAAATTTCATGTTAATCAAAAAATTTCTATCGTTTTGGTTTCAATATTTGGAAATATTAACGTTAAGGGGCACACCTAGTGTAATAACCTAAAAAAAAGTTGATTTTTGGGAATTAAAAAAAAAAATACTTCATCAATTATTTCAAAATTTTAAAAATATATTTATACGAGTTTCAAGAATACACAGTGAAATTTGTGAAGAAAAAAATTAAATATTTTTTAAGTTATAGTCGATCTCCAACGGAGCGAAAAAAAACGGTCCTTCACTGCTGCAGTGATTCCGGCCTTCTCCGTGGATGAAATCTGAAAAAAAAAATTTCTACTAGATAATATTGTCTGTACAATGACCTACCATAAAAAACAAAAAAATGACAATATGGCGGTGTTTTATAAAAAAATAGTCGAATGTTACCCAAAATTTTGGTCGTTTTTGGCCTGCCGAAACTCGATTTTTTGATCAGATCAAAAATCGATAGGCCATTGTACGGAGAACTATATATAGAACATGTAAAAAAAATTCGATAGTGATCGGATCATTTGTTTTTGAGTAATCACTGCAGCAAATTCGGAAAATGCTGTTTTCGAGAAAAACGCGTTTAAAGATAAAATGATCGTATTCACTCGTAGCTAATGAGACTCTCTGAAAAAATAGTGAAAAAATTACAACAATAGTTTTGGGCGGTAGAAGTTATAGGTGCAATTTTGGAAACCATCACACGTTTCCTCATCAGACTTCTTTTTCCAGACACCTTTATTCGAATTGGATTCGAACTTGGGATGTCAACAGCACGAGCCAATCGTCATCCCATTAAGCTACATGTGTGCCGCTTTTACCCGAAATGAAAAGCTGTCGTTAATGTTAAATCGTTAACAGACAACGTTAAACGTTACAATTAAAGTGTGTTGTGAAATCATAGCAAAAGCAGCCATATAAAATTAACATGAACGACGAGTTTCTGCAGTTTCAACGCTAACGATTTCATTCCGTTTTGATAAAATGGCGCCGAAACGAAACTTTCTTATTTCGTTGAGTTAAATTTTCTAGTTAACGAAACGAAATGATATCGATGCGTTTATTGTGCATCTCTGGTTATTATATAATCATAATTACTAAAAAAATAAAATCAATAAAATAATAAAATAAATTCCACAAATAACCGCAGATATGTCCACAAAACCGTAAATAGGATGGGAATGTGGTTACAGTGCTTGCTTGAAATTTCATTAATTAATTTTATTGACAAATTTACAGATCTACAATTTACTTGTAATATGTGCATACATACATACATACATACATACATGCATCAACGAATTATTTCATTAAATGGAAGCAATTGGCCACTGGAAGAGGAAAAAATTCAATTAAAATTTATGCGAATTGGAATTAGTTTATTTCTTTAAAAAAAAAAAATACAGTATTTTTTAGTGAAAAAAGTAAATAAAAATTATTTAATTAACAATCTTAGTAATTGCAAACTATGTAGCAGTTTCGAGGTTATAATTTGCATATCTGCAACTACTTCTATTTATAATGACTAAATTCTACAAATTTTATGACTCGAAACGTTGGCAAAAAATAATTTTTAGTTTTGTCAAAGCGGCTTTTTGCTCAATTTAAAAAATGTAAAATAATTTGATTTTTTTTTTTTCAAATAAATATAACAGAAAAAAAGCCAACTAAAAATGTACAGTCAATTCGCACTAAGTATTATTTATTAACAAGTTTGATTTTGGGCTTGTTTTTTTTTTTTTCAATGAAAACTTGTAATTAATTTCCACAGTTGCACATTACCATTTGCTGCAAGCACAAATTTCGGGGAACCCCCGTGCGTGTACGTATTAATTATTGCACAAGTTGAAATCGGCGACTAGACGTAGATAATTTTGAGTTCAACCAGTTTTTTTATTTTTTATTTCCTTCTTTTTTTTCAGATCTGTGGGCTCGTCTCTGCTCATATGGGCTGCCTGCGGCATACTCTCAACGATCGGTGCGCTTTGCTATGCCGAATTGGGCACGAGCATAACACGTTCCGGCGGCGATTATGCCTATTTGTTGGTGGCATTTGGGCCGCTAGTCGGCTTTTTGAGATTATGGATAGCATTGCTAATCATAAGGCCAACAACGCAGGTGAGTGCTGTGCAAATATTTAACACAAACATTTTTTTTCCAATTATGTGCGTTTGAAAATGTGGTAAATTTATTCATGAATGAGATTTTTAAGTGAATAAGATCGAGAATAAATTATTAAATAATAATATAAAATTGAAGAAATGGCGACCTAATAAAAAGTAATCCATTATATTTACTTTAAGTAGCGGGCTTTATTCCATGCTTAGAATTATCCGTTTTATGTCAAATTTACATCGTTTTTCTGGGTAACTTCTTGCCATTTTGAAGGTAATTTCATTATACCTCACTCATAGAAACCTTAGTTTCTATTGACAAAACATTAGGACAATCGATTTTCACAGGCTTCTCTGGAGGCCAATTCTTCACCAGTCAAATAATTCGCCTTATACGGGAACAGCTGTTAATCACTTGGTGCGAGATCCGCACTATAAGGTGGATGGAAAAGAGCCTCCCAACTAAGCTCTCGGAGTTTCTGGCGAATCACCATCGATATGTGTAGTGCGGCCTTATAGTGATCAAACACAATTATTCTTTTTTTTATTGGCCAAAGCTGCGTGCTTCTGGGCCATTGCTTCTTTCAGGCGGCCTAAATGCTGATAGAGCCGGCGCTAATTAAGAGATTTTAGTGAGTGATTTCTTGCCAACTCCACCAAATATACTAAAAATCTTCCTGGTCGTCAATCCTAGCTTGGATACCATTTGTGCCGGCTCATAGCACTTCTAACCCGAAGGTTTTTGCTTTCAACATCCTTGTAGTTTCTCTCATAAAACAATGGTCTGCCAGGATTCCTTTTGGTCCTTCTCATAGTTTCTCTCGATGACGTTATCACTCGAGACCTACGTGAGAGACAGATTTTTCGGCATGATCAGCTCCTGTATTTAGTTTTAGCGAGCTTAGTGCTTTTAACTTTGCTGACTGTCGCTCTAAATGGGTTGTTCTTATCTCTAAAGCTGGCTTCTATTTGCTTTTTTGCCTTCATAATAGCAGACATATCCATCTGAAAGAGACTGCAATGTTTAGCTAGCCTCTCCGCCGACTCTCCCTTCAAGTTTTAATCTATCCGTGTATACTTCCAGGCTACCGCCTGGAGTGTGGTAATTATCCTTTCATTCGTTTCTGTTAGCGATTCGAGTTCTGAAGTAATTTTCTATGAATGTTATAAGACGACTGCACCGTTCTGCATAGCTTGATAAAAATCCTATTTATCCATTAATATGACCCATCAAGTACAGAAGCAGGACATTGACTCTCAGCTGCTCAATTTTGTAAATTGTGGTATGAAATCACTTATCCGAGCAATCAGTTGAATCAGTTGCTACTACCGTCCCCCCCACGCTGCAAAGAAACTGGTACCTGCGCTAGGCCAGTTCTTCGCCGCCCAATTTGAGTAGCTCAGTTGTTAAGCCATCGCTATTCGGATTACCTTATAGTCAGATCATAATCTCCTGGAGTACCATTTTCACTTTCCTTCTGCAAGAAGGAAGAAGAAGTGTTAGTGCTCCCTCTATAAGTTCAGTATACTCTGGTGAGCACTAGCTGGATCGCCTCTTTGAGTACTACAAAAGTATGCTCCAGTCTTGAAACCTTGTTTGAGTCTCCACATGTTTTCGTAGAATTTTCGAGTATTACATCCATTGGCCAGCTTCCCAAGTTCTGTTCTCACTCACACATTTCGGTATTTTGCTTATTCTGGCTTTCAAACAAAGCGTCCATAGCGGTCGATCGAAACATTTGGAAGTAAGCAGTCAGACATTTTAGGTACATCCTTAAGTCGTGATCCTTAAAACGTTTGTAATGCGGTCACAAATCGGAACGCACATTGTACGATTTGTTCCTGGGGCAGATTTTATATGGGGTCAGTATGAAACCATTCCGGCAAACATATCTCCTGGCGTTAGCTCGCCTCCAGCCGGATTTTTATTGACTATCCAGAGCATACTTTGTCTAAGACCGTAAGCCCAGTGTCTCTTCTGGCCACTCCCACAAGAATGACAGTCAAAAACTTTCCTCACTTGCGTGAACTTCTAAACTTGACTTCATCGTCCATATTTTTTACCAACAAAAATATTGAAGATTGTAAAAGCATTTAAATTTGAATTCTTTTGTTATTTTATACGTGAATACAGCTTACTTTTACTTATGTATGTAGGACAGTAGGTCAAGATTGGCAAGCGATGAACAATGCGACATTCATCACACATATGTATGTATGTACATATGCGTGTATAAAAGAGAAAAGCTTTTGCTTTCATTATTAATATCGAGAGGTCAATAAATATGTATTACCGTATTTTAGTTTGTGTGTACATATATGCATTAACAGAATATTTATATATATAGTTTTTATGTTCACGGAATGAGAGGGTTGTAGGGGAGTGTTTTTAGTCTCGCACTCATAATTAGTATACATACAAGGTCTAATTATTATAAAACAATTAGTCTTTGAGCTACCGTTCCTTATAAAGCAAGGCAAATCAGTTGCGACTTTAATTAATGAGATGTAATTGATTTGCGGCGACTATGGTTCGGAAATAACCATGATGTACAAGGCCATGCAGGAACAGTGAGGTGAACTTATCTAAAAAGCGAAAAAATTATCCTCGACGATGCACGGCTAAAGAAGAAACAATTCGCAGAAATGTTTCGGGTATCTGATGCAATCATTTTTATAATCCTGAACAATCACCTTGGCTTGACCAAGTTCAGTGCAAGATGGGCGTCGAGAATGCTCACGCCTCCGCAAAAACAAAAGCGCGCTGAATGTTCACATGTATTTTTTGACCTCTGGGGCCACGTTAGCCGAGTGGTTAGCATTGCGTACTGACATTCAGAAGGCTCGGGTTCATAACCCGGTGCCACCAACATCTAAAAGTTATGGAAAATTACTTTAAATAAAAAATTAAGTTAATTTCGGCAGGGAATGTCCACACCTCTGAGTATACTTCGGATATGAGATAAAGACTGCTCGTAAAAAAATCATCAGCCGTTCAGAGGCGGCTTAGTATAAACTGTAAGTCCCTCGATTTGTTTGAAAAAAAAACATGAAGATGCAAAACCACAAATTGAAGGAGGAGCTCGGCTGAAAAATCGCTTCAGCGGTTACAAAGCGCCAATTATATATATAATGCAGAGAAGAATAGTGTATTGAGTCGAATTATTACGGGATACAAAACTTGGACTCATCATTATGGATGAAATTATACTCCATGCAACGGCATAAAAAGAGCACTGCACCTCCCAAGCAGTTTAAGGTGTCACAGTTGGCTGGGAAATTCATGGCAATGGTCTTTACGGACTCAGAAAGAATATTATTGATCGATTATAAAGGTTACAGGTGTATCTATAACTGGAAAATATTACTCTTTAATTTTGAAGCCGACCAAAGAAGCGGTTATACAGAAAAGACGTTAGAAATTAATGAAACATTTGCTGATTTTGCACGACACCGCGCCCGTCCACAGGAGCCGCTTAGCGTTGGCTGTCCTGCATAAGGTGGGCTTCGATATTTTGAATCACCCATCTTACAGCCCAGACCGGACCCCGAGTGTTTATAACCTGCAGCCAAATGAGAAAAGAAACTGAGAGTAAAAAATTGATCATCGCTGAACAAGGTCAAGGAGGTAGTTCGGCGTATTTTGAAGATCAAAAGATTTTTTTATGAGTGGTGTATAATTAAATGAATTTAAAGATCTGAAAATTATATCCATCTTGCAGGTGAATATATTGAAAAAAAAGAATAATGCGGTTTTCATTTATTTTTTTTTTTATCCCCCATTCCTCGAACATGAAAACGCTTCGACGTATGTACATATATAAATAGTTTAAAATAATATTAGACTTCAATTTAGAGGTTAAAAAAAAAAAAATAAAAATAATAAAGAAATATTGACAAAATTTATTGGCTATAAGAGTAGTAATTTCTATGCGCCTCTGTACAACATACTTAACATACATACGTATCTGAACTTTGTAAAAAAAAAATATTTAAATTTGCATATTTGAAAAAAAATACTGCGCAATAAACGGTGTTCCAGCGCATAAAACTAAAACGGCAATATAAACAACACCCACCAATGCAATTGCAACAATTTTTATTATAGACATTTTCTCTTAATACTTACTATCATATATGTACATATGTATAAATTCTTCTTCTTCTTTTGTGTTTTTTTTTCAGACAATCGTCGCGCTGACTTTCGCGCAGTACGCGGCCAAGCCATTTTTCGAAGACTGTTCACCGCCAGAATCGGCTGTAAAAATTTTAGCGGCAATTTGTTTGTGTAAGTAATGTAACAGGAAGAGTTACAATCAAACTTATCTACATACACATTTAACATATTTACATACAAAGTATGCATACGCCCTACACGTGATTTCATTTGTTTACGCTGATAAGGAAACATAATATGAGCTGTAATGTAATACACTTAGCGCACACATACATACATACATACATACATACATATGTATGCGCACCAAGCTGCTCCTCCGATTCATGAACAAAATGTATTTATAAATTTCCCTTTATATTTGTCAGTAAGTATGTATGTATGTATGTTTATTATCTCGTAAAACACGCCACCGACTCATCACTCGGCATGTTTTTTTCTCGGCTCGCCGACGGAAACAAATCATTTTTCACCTCACATTTTTCCCTCTCTCTGCACGTTTAACAGTAATTAAATGCTGCAAATTTAAAATAAATCTATTTTTAATTACATTATTCATCATTCTACAGGTCTACTCACTGCCATTAATTGCTTGTCTGTGAAATGGTCTATGAAGGTGCAGGACATCTTTACCGCCGGCAAACTGTTGGCTTTGATCATGATCATATTAGCTGGCATCTACTACCTGCTGCAGGGTCGCTTTGAGAATTTCGAAGATGCCTGGACGGGAAATTATGATGCTGGTAATATAGGATTTGCCTTTTACTCGGGCCTATTCGCATTTGGTGGCTGGAATTATTTGAATTTCGTAACCGAGGAGTTGCAGGACCCATACAAGTAAGTTTGTTTGGAGAATAGAAAAAGAGACTAGGCTTTGCATGAAATCTTTATTTGAATCGATAGTACGGTCTATATAATTGAATGTTTGAAGTTTATTTCATGCAAATATTAACCGAGACTGCGCCTCAAATGGTCCATCCACTTAGTCCAATTTTGGCATACTCTTTCATACTCTTTCCAACATATCGGTCGGTATCTCACGAATAAATGCTTCAATGTTGTCCTCCAAAGAGTCAATTGAAGCGAAATTGTCTGTATAGAAATTTGATTTAACATTAGCCCCACAAAAAATAGTCTAAAGGCGTTAAATCGCACGATCTAGTCGGCCAATTGATCAGACCCGAACGTGAAATCAACTGTTTATCCAACTCGGCCTTCAATAAGTCCATTGTTACGGGTGCTGTGTGGCATGGGGCACTGTCTTGTTGAAACCACATGTCATGCAAGTCAAGCTCTTGCATTTTGTGCAAAAAAACGTTTCTGGATCATATAATAAGTCATAAAGGATGAGCGACTTGTCCGATGAGATTGGCCTTTGTTTGACGCAAATGGACTTTCCTTAATTCGCTTGCAGTGGTCGTCAAGTCGCTAGCCACCAATACTTCCGAAAAGGCAAAAGCAAGGCACTCGGCTGACCGGTCATAGACAAAGATGTACCGACTTCGACAGCCGTGCATAACAAAACATAGATGCTCCTGCTATAACTCTCAGAGTACCGCCTTAAGAACCACAACAGGAAACCTCCTGTCTTGATGTTTTTCCAACAAATGGCATGTATCTGTGTATCTTTATTGCAGTGAAACTTGCATGCTCCCAGTTATGCGGCACCCAAACATCAAACTTTTTTTGTATCCAGCCTTCTGCAGATGGTTCAAAATGGTTTGGTGACTAACTCCCATCTCATGGGCGATGTCACGAGATGCCATATGCCGGTCTAACTCGATGTATTCCATGATTTGAACGGTATTTGTCGTCACAGGTCTTCCGCCGGCTGGCTTATCCATAGTGTCATTTTCACCGGCTCTGAATCGTCAAAACCATTCCTCCGCGGTTCGAAGTGATAGAGTACCATCCCCAAAACACCATTAATCTCGCGGAACGTTTCTCTAGCGGATTTACCTTTAACGAAGGAAAACTTTAAAATAGCGCGAATTTCGGCGTTAGTGAACTCCATATTTACACGTCTATAACTGTTGAACGCAATATCCAAAGTAATCATGCATAGCGTTGTTTTGTAGGTTATGTCAAGACCTTTCAAATTATGTATAGTGTTGCCAGATACGAACTACGCCGCGAAATTCAAAAGACAAAACAGCGGAAGGGAGATGTTTGACAACTTAATATATATGTATAGCTTGGGTAAGCAGTAACTGTAACAGACAACTGCTTGAAACACATTAGGAAGAAATAAATTGACTTTACTCGCTTCATTCAGCAACATATCACAGTACCACTGGACAGGATGAACTATTGACTGGACTGTAGGGCCTGTCCATTCTCTCGAGTAATACTGGGCGAGTATATTGCATCACGCTCAACACCCTACTTCTTCCGTACGACCGCGACATAATTAACGAATGCCCGGACAATAAGTCACCGCACGTCACCGTACGACACCGCAACCACCTCTTTGCATGCCCACAAAAACCTACTCATCTAACACCTTTCATCTTGAGGTTCGAATCCGTCGAAACAGCTCGTTTCCTATTAGATGAACTCGACGATATAAATTACGAGTAGTACGCTTCTCTAGCCGCTGTAACAACAACAACAGCAATAATAATTTTTTGATATAAGTATTAAGTAAACAACGAGGCTTGGTTGTGTGTATGAATTAAATATTTGTTATACAACAAAGAAAAATTGTTGAAGTGACAGCTGGTTTGGAGATCATCACATCTCCTCATCAGACTTCTTATGTCAGGGATCGAACCAACGGATCCTGACTTAACAGGCGAGTGTTCTACAACTGCGCCAACAACAGCAATAATATTTTTATGGGCGCCAACTTTAAGTGTAAAACTGAGCTTAATTTTTGTTTGAATCTTCATTTCATCAATATTGTTCCAAGCGAATTCCCTTTCTTACATTCTTAAATTTTTTTTAATTTTCTAAAGTGATTTTCGATAGTTTTACGTCATTCAGACGCAATTTCTTTAAAAGCCATCTTTAGTGACTTCCTATCCAGCTTGCTTTAATTTTTTACATACATACATACATATATATATTGTGCATACACTTTCCATGATTGAAACACGCTCAAGTGGCTTCGTTGCGTATAAAAGTGAATTCTCCAGAAACACACTTTGCTCTGATGACGCCGACCATAAGATTGTGTGAATGTGTGCGGAGTGTGTTTGTGTATATAATATATATATATATATATATTTATATATATATATATATATTTATATATATATATATGTGTATGGATTTGTTAGGAGAAAGCATTTAATAATGCTCGAAGGCCATTTATTTTGCAGTGAAAGTTCAAGTGATTTTATATATTTGCTGACGCGTGGCTCGTTTGTTTTGTCGGAACTTTGAATGAAAACCACCAGTTGATTCTAAGAGGAATGTCTGTATGTACTTGTATTTAAATGTATGTATACCAAATACAAATGTCGATATCTATGCAGAAACAAAGTGTATGGTTTTGACTATAAAAAAAGTGGCGTGGGAGTTTTCTTGTAATTCGTAGTCCCAGTGAGAAAAATTAGACACTCCGGAAAACGAAATTTTTTTAATCAAAAGACCAGTATTAGTTCCAAATGAACTAAGCCTATACAAATAATATTTTTTTGAATTTAAAGAATATATGTTGTGGATCGATAGATAGATAGATAGGAGAGGATAATGCATTGCCAAAGGTGGTATGTTGTGCCCACCGATTCTTTCACATTCCTTAAATCAATTCTGAAGCCCTTAGGAATCTTAGCAGGCTAGAAGGATTGATTGATTCAATGTGATTTTACTTCGGCTGAATATCTAATAGATGTCTTACGCAGTCTGCTTCTAACTCTCTGGTAATATGTAGCTCACAGAAGCGATTTCAATTCTTTGCATAAGCTTGCGTAGTGGTCTGCAATGTCCTGTAAATAACGATGTGTACATTCTTAATTAATTCTAGCTTAATAATATTGGGTTTAGTAAAAAGTTATCCATTATTTTTTACTATTAATGGCTTTAATGATCTGCATCTCGTCTTCTATATGTGCCTTTGGATTTGCTAGATGGCGTTAAAAAGATGATATTTTGTACTAAAAAGTTAATCGGAGAGGTAAGAATCAATTAACCAAGTAGTCCATGACAAAGATGAACACCAGCAAAGAGAAAAAGCATTATATATATTCTACAATTCTTCTTTGCGGTCTTCATAATGTAATAGTCGACCATGTAAAATTTCCTCGATCTCGTTCAGGTAATTTTGGTATAAAAGATGTTGCACGGTGTGGAATGCAAATTGTCGAAAATGTCGATAAAATAATGGAAATCGTCGAGTCTGCAGAACAGTTTAGAAACAGCTAAAAAAGCTGGCAAGCACTGAGTCCACTACTCACCACTACTCCAAATGAGGTAGTGAGAAATAAACCTAATGGAACGAATATCCATCTGCGTCTCGTGAATGACTCGTAACAAAATCGATCCATTTCTGAAGCAGATGGCAACTGGTGAAGAAAAGTGGATCACTTACAGTAACGTCCACTAAAAACGGTGTCGATCGAAAGGTTATGTGTTTTAAGAGACTGGCAAGGAATCATACACTATTAGCTGATCCCCTACGCTCAAATTCTAAATTCAGACCTGCACTGTCAGCTATTGAGTCCTCTGTAGGACGCCTAGCTGTGAGGAGAAGAATTGAGTTTTATCAGTACAACTTTGCACCACACACATCGATAGTGACTCGCCAGAAGATCCGCGAGCTTGCTTGGGAGGTTCTTAGGCATCCATTTTATAGTCTGGACTTCGCACCAAGTGTTTACCATCTGTTTCTAACAATGAAATAAAGCTTTCAATTTATTGCAAGAAACAATAGATTACTTTTTACTAGAGCTCTGTTCTTCTGGCCTTTTAGTCGACCATAAACTTTTCAATAGTCTTATCTCTTCACTACAATGCCAATACCTGTTTAGTTATTATTTTTTCTTTATTTCTTAGCTGTTCTTTAATTGTGTGAGGGCCTATAGAGAAGAAGAAGAGCTCTGGTTGCGTAGAGAAGATTGAGGCCGCTTCTTTCGTCATTTCATCATTTCATTCAGTATATGCATAAGCCCGTGAATCCCGATGAGCCGAACTTTATTTCGTTCGACCACTTAATTTGGACTTCTGACACACTCCCACACCAAACGCGATTTATTTCTACACGATGATATTGTCATCAGTGTATTCCTTTTAAGTATGATATCTGCACATGAGGTGATATGGGCACCAATTCATTCTGCATTCATTGATCCATCTCTGTGCCACACCTGTGCGTGTGGTTTATTTCTTGCTTTATCTGCTATTAAAATATGCTGTCACTAGTAATGGTTCTGTAATGCACTAAAACTGGACTAGTTTGTAATAACTCGCTTTATCTAGTACATAACACTTGAACGAGTATACCGATAGCATATGTGTATGTATATTTATACACTTGACACTTGTTGAATGGCGATGATTTGCAATTCATGAAAGTCTACTGTACAAAAACAAAAAACAAAAAGTCGGTTGAATAATGGGCAGCTTCGCAAGTGTCAGTTACAATTTATTAGCTGTGGGTTGAGTGATTCTGTATGTAAATGAAAGATACTGCTGAATGTTATCTACATAATTATACTGTAGAGTGTATGGGTAGACATCAAAGGCAGGCGATGCCATGCGATTTAAGACAACGGTTGATGTGATTTGGAAAGAAAAAAATTCAAGTCGATAGAGATTGATTTTTCCTTTCCTCGTGAGCCAATAGAAGGTATACAGCTTTAACTTAACCTCTGACATTTTGGACGTTTGGAGCAGTTTTCTTGAACAGATCTACTTTGTTGCTTCCCTCTTTAATTCACAAGTTGCGTTCGATCACAATGTTGCGGGAGTGTGGAAGAGTTTATTTTATTCATCGCTTTGCGACGGTGCGTATCAGCTCTGGTTGCTATCTGACCGTAAATCAATGATTCCATTGGCCACAGTACGTAAGAAGCTTGAACTGCCCCCCTTCGGTCCACTTAAACCAAGTGATTGCTGAGTACTCTTAGTGAGCAAGATGACAAGTCGAGTTTAAATTTTTTGGTTTTTTATAACCGTCCAAGCGACTTTCCTCCACGAATTTGCAATAATTGGAAGTGTGTAAGTCAATTTTAATTTAAGCGTCTTCGAACGGTTAATGGACTTTGGTGAAGAGTTTTTATTTCATTTCAAAAATACTCTCGTGGGGGTTGAACGCAATTTGAACATTTTGTTTATTATTTTTTTTTAAATGAATATTCTATAACTTCAGATGTTGGTGTTTAGATCTAGGCCTATAGCTCGAACCCCGCGAGTTGCTTGTTCCAAGACCGACGTCCACTCGCAGCTGTACCTAAACAGAGGCTGTAATAAAATTTCAGTGAACCGTAATGAATATTTCGGAGTTGTTCCACTATAGCTCCCTTCGTTTCAAATGTGATCCAAGGCTCCATATTACAGCAGGTTACGTATTCATGAGCAACCATAAATATATTCCTAGAGTAGAACTGGTCAACATACCAACAGTTTTTAGGCTCTAGCTTAAAAGTGCGCGTTCCTGAATCTTATAGAAGGAAGATCAAGTCTCTCTTTTCACCAAAAATCTAATATCAGTTTTATTTCATAGTCTTGGTGACGTCACCTGACTATTTTTGTCTAAATTATTCCGTCCATTGTTGTATCCATTTAAATTATTTCAAATTATCCTCTCGAAACTTATTCTATCACCTTCTACCGACATATTTTTGGGCTGCCAAGAGTATATTTAAGCACCTGCGAGCGAAGAACACAGATGGATTAGAGACAACAGAAGGAGTTTGTGGGCAAATATCCTAGCATCCTCCAAGCGAAAGTGTTCACCATTGCCTCGTGAGCAGATATTATATTCAAAGTGTCTAAATAATACAATAGAATCATATATTTATAATTAAAATATTTTTATCAAAACGATATACGGCATAAATTTAAGCTTCAAAGCCTAGTAAATAATTTATAGCAGTTTCTGCAATACGATAATTTTTATTTTACTTCTTCCCACCCAATAGAAATCTTCCACGTGCCATTTGGATCGCCATGCCGTTGGTTACCGGTATTTATGTGCTCGTAAATCTCGCCTACTTCGTTGTGGTGTCAAAAACAGAAATGCTCAGCTCACTAGCGGTGGCAGTTACATTCGGCAATCGAGTTTTCGGGCCGCTCGCCTTCATGGTACCAATATTTGTGGCGTTGAGTACATTCGGCGGCGTTAACGGTGTACTCTTCACATCGGCACGTCTATTCGCAACGGGCGCACAGGAAGGACATTTGCCCAAATTCTTTACATTATTCCATATTAAACAACAAACACCTATACCATCATTGATATTCTCGGTAAGTTGATGCGAAGAGCATTTTTAGGATGTGCAATTTATTGAATAGATAAATGAATTTTAACTATTTTTGATGTATCAACCTTATCTCCCCCACAGTGCATCACGTCTCTATTGACACTACTCACTGCCGATGTTTACATTCTGATTAACTACTTCAGCGCCATGTTGTGGCTGTCGGTGGTTGCGAGCATAGCAGGCATGCTCTGGTTGCGTCATACCAAGTAATTTATGGCACAAAATGTTATATTTATTTAGAATATTACTAATATTGTTTCTACCCTACAGACCAAACATTCCGCGCCCGATTCGTGTCCATCTCGCACTGCCAATAATCTTCATTATCTGTTGTTTGACTTTGGTGCTTTTGCCCAGCTTCAAGAATCCAATGAATCTGCTGGTTGGCATTGGTATTACCGTGGCCGGTATACCGTTTTATTATCTATGTATAGCAAGGAAAAATAAGCCAGCTGGTTATGGTAGACTCTCGCGAGGCATGGTGAATTTCTGTAGAGCCATGTTCAATACGGAAATTATTGAGAGTAGTGAGAGTGTTGACAAGTAAAGTTGGAGGCAGGCAAAAAAATTTAATTTTTTTTTTTTTGCAAAATTTTCAAAATCTAATATAATAAATATGTAAATGTATTATTGTAAAAACTGAAACTCAGCGCTAAAAAAGTTATTTTTAATATTTTATTAAAATTATAATTTTCAATAAGGTATTATGTATTTAATTAACACACACAAACACATTTACTTTGAAGAAAAAAAATTGTGTAAATACATATGTATGTAAGTAAGCTAATATGAATGCAGTAGTGGGCATAAAATACATTATAGCTTTTTTACCTGAATTATACTTTAAGTTTAGAAGTTTAGGTTATGAATTCAATGAAAAGTATATAAAAAAGTATATTAAGTTTTGTCCTTAAACAAAGAAAAAAAAAACAAAAAAAAAAAAAAATACAGAAAAATTTTAGGTCCTTTTTTTCAAGCAAAAATTTCAAAAGTTTCGTTATTTGAGTTTTTAGTAAATCTAAAGTCTGGAGCAATTTTGAAGAAACCTTTTTGAATTTATTACTTAATTTTCTATAAACTTATTCTTAATTCTTAAAACGTTAATCTATTATTTTAATGCTTTTTTTTTGCTTTAATTGTTTTAATGAGTTTCGTTGTTTTCCTATCGAAAAAGCTCGGTATTCATAGATGAAATCATAGATGTTCAAAAAAAAGTTTTTGAAAACTTACCATATATCTATAAAAAATTGAATAAGTTCAAAAACAGTTATTTCAAATCAAAATTGTTTCAGAACCCTAACAAGCCTAAAAATTCAAATGATGAAAATTTTTAACATAATCTGCATTTTTTTTTGAAGATTATTTGGAGCCGATAAAGCTTTTAATTTTTTTCCTAAAAGTTACTAGAAGATATTTAATGTGTAGTGCAATCGCCTCAAAAGGTTCTGAAAGAAAAATTGTTTCTGAATATTGAGAAGAAGAAGAAGATTTTTAATATTTTCGAAAACGGTAATAAAAAGAGATCTTATAGTTGTAGAAACGTGGTATTTGGTTGATACCCACATGCCCTGAAGATGCGCAAGGTATCTTGCTGGGGATGATTTACTATGCTTATCGTCTTATGGCCTTTTAAATTTTTTTTTCAAATTTATTTATTTATTGCACCTCTCACACAGCAGCGGCTTGGAAAGAGCCTAAAATACTTATATATATTCATGTTCATATATTTAGTTTTTAGCTTTAAGTGGCGAGTAACGAAATCATTTTGACATTTTAGGGAATAATAATGCCTTAAATGATATTAAAGCATAAAATGCAGCTTTTTTTATTATATACGTCGTATATACATATGCATGTGTGCAAGTATTCGTAATTTATTAACAAATATACATACATATGTAAATATATTTAAATATGTAATAAAAAAAAATTATAAAGTGTATACATACCAGATATGATTACATACATACATACATACATATATGTCATTGTATAAATATTTAAAAAATGATCGCCATTGCCAGAAGTTATTATTTAATAGTTAACTGAAAAGAAACGAAAATAAATTTTGAAAAAAATTAATCAGATTAAAAAATGCTTCACAATCAAATACATACAAACATACATGTACGCATAAATTATAACAAATTGAGTTTTATTTAAGAGAAGGCTTAAACGATTGGTTCATAAAATAAGAGATTTTTTCATACTTTTCATACCATTAATTTTGGTATACATATATACCTATTTAAATGGTGCTGAAGCCGACCTCCACCGACCTCCAACGTCAACTTGTGGCATGCGTCTTGACGTTTTTCTCCTCTCTTTTCAACGTGGTGGAGGTCTTCCTCTTACTCTGCTTCCGCCAGCGAGTACTGCATGGAAAACTTTCAAAGCTGGAGCATTCTTACCCATCCGGACCACATGACCTAGCAAACATAGCCGCTGCCTCTTGATTCGCTGAACTATGTTATTGTCGCTGTATATCTTGTATAGCTCATCGTTCCATTAGCTTCCACATTAGCCGTTCAAAACGCGCAGTGAATCATAAATATTTTACAAAATCTTTCGCTCGGAAACTCCCGACTCGCCGACTCAATAAATGTTGCCATCGTCCATGCCTCTGCCCAATAAAGTAGTACGGAAATGATGAGTTACTTTGGCCTTTGTATGTTGACAAACGCCTTTACTTTTCAATTGCCTACTCCGTCTAAAGTAGCACCTATTGATAAGAGTGATGCTGCTTTGGATTTCCAGGCTGACTTTGTTGTTGGCGTTAATGCAGCTTTCAAGATAGAGAAGGTTATCCACGACTTCAAAGTTAAGACTCTCTACAGTGACGTTGGAGCCAAGCTGCGACTGCGATGATTTTGTTTTTGCTGTAAGGAGATATTTCGTCTCGTTCTCGTTCACTACCAGACGATTGTTGACGCCAAATGATATCCATCATCAGCATATGGCAGCAGTTGTACAATGTTATAGAACATTGTATCTTTTATTGAGCTGTGCAGCTCGTTTTATTTCCTCCAGAAATAGATTAAAGAAGTCACATGATCAGGAATCACCTTGTCTGAAACCTAGCTTGGTATTGAACTACTCGGAGAGACCCTTCCCGGCCCGACGAAAGTTTTGGTGTTGCTTAAGGTCAGTTTGCACAGCCGTATCCCGTTGGTCGAAAATACCGAACTCAGGCATATAGGCGCAGGGGTAGCTCTTTTTCATGCTGTCGACAAAGAGCTGATGTGTTTCGATTCTTTTTTCACAGGTATTTTCCAAGACTTGTCGATTAGTGAGAATATCTGGTCAACAGTGGAATTACCAGGTCTAAAGCTTGACTGATAAGGCTCAATCAGTTTTAGTCTTTCATACAATGCGCTCGATGGTAAATTTTATATGCAATATTGAACAGGCTCGAATCACGGTCTTTGGCGTAAGCCGTGGGTCGCATTTTTGTGGATTGGGCAGAGCACATTTAGGTTTCGATCATGTTTTCGTCCGACAATACCCTGTAAATAATAAGCTGATGTATGCTTTCAATATTTCGCCGCAGTATTTGAAAAGCTCGGTTCGGCAATCCATCGGTCATGCTTTTCGAACTTCATCATAGTCCTGAAACTTCCGTACCATCATCATCGATCTGAGAAGCGAGTTTGCCATCTCCGGGTGGGCCATTATCAAATCGGTATGCCTTTATAAATTCAGTATACTCGGGAATCAGATATACATAGGTGATCGGTCTTAAAACCTTCTATACCTCGTTGCATCTGTCAGCTGGCTTCTTAAGCTTCTACATCTGTTATCTCATTTCTGCTTAAGAATGTGTAATACAATGAAAAAGGTGTGAAAACCAGATTAACAAAAAAAAAATTAATATTAACTTTAAAATTAAATTAAAACTTAAACCCAAATCTTTGACTTCTTGGCCTCTCAGCCAACGTAATCAAAGCAAATTCCCCATGTTAGACGTAAAAAAAATTTTTTCTTCCTAATCAGCGTCATTGGAGACGTTCTTACTAAAGTTGTTGAACTATTCGCTCTCTCTTGAACCTGCCTTAACTTGACGTCTTTTCGATGAAACCCTACCGAATTACGTTGAATACATATGTATATATGTATGTCTTTTCACGTAAAAACTAATTTCCAACACACTTATCAAAATAAAACATAAATTTCTAATTCAAAATCACCTTTAAACTTTCTTGAACATGTGTACATTAAAATAATTTATTAAAATTATTTAACTATTCAAAAGTCAAGCGAATGAACCTGAAGAGATAACAAAAAAGAATTTGAAGTTTAAATTTTGCAAAATTGGCACGCAAATTTGAAAATAGGTCAAGAAGAGCGAAACTAAAATTAATTTAAAAAAAAAAAATTTATATTGATGAAATTTTTCATATGGAAAAAGTTAACTATTTTCTATTGTAAAGGGTGTTTTTTAGACATGTGGTTTTCAAGAAGGAATAAAACGCATATAATTTTATGTTATGGCCAAGAATTCAGTTTTATTATAAAGATAAGGGTTTTCCATTATGTTTTCAATAAGATTTCGGGCAAGTAACCACCGCGGCTGGTTCGCATCGATTCCAGCCGCAAGAACCAATTTTCGAACACGATTCGCAGCAGTGGCCGTTTGCCAGCAATAACACACTAAATATTCTCTTTAAAGGTGTCAACCGTTTGAGGCTTATCTGCGTAGACAAATGAGTTGACATAACCTCAATAAAAATAGTTCGGTGCGGTTTTAAGTCGCACTATCAACAAATTGATTTCATCGTTGGCTATAAGGCCCGTAGCACCGTCTTGTTGAAACCAAAGATAGTCCACATCGACATGCCTCAATTCAAGCACAAATAAGTCGTGAATCATGGCTCTCTAGCAATCCCCATTGACTGTAACATTATTGGCGGATTTTGTTTTTGAATAATAATAAATAAATGATTCCCTCTGTCCACAAATGCGACAATTTTGTCTATTAATGTACCCGCTCTATCCAAAGTGAGCTTCATAAAATTTTCTTGTGAAAATAGTGCTCGCTAGCCACCTCGGTTTGGACCCATTTACAGAGCATGCAAGGCGCTTGATGGTCACTCAGCTTCAACTTTTGCACGATTTGGACTTTGTAAGCCGGCAAACCAAAATCCTTCCGAAAATTCTTCCATAAAGTTATTGGGCACAGCTACAACTGTTGCGCGCGATGGCTAATTGACTCATTCGGGACTTCTTCGATACTCTGCTTCACAGCAGCAATAGCGTCTTCGGTGCATACTGTACGGTATCTCTGTCGATGCGTCTTATCCGCAGGAGTAAGCGTAGTGCGAAAACGATCCATACATGCTCGAATTACCGATTCTGCTTGGTGATTATGTCCAACGATTATTAGACGTAGCGCGCGATATGTCATTTGAACCGTGTTTTTGTAATGAATTTGCACGATTTGCACGATTTGCAAACCTTGTTCCGAAGTTAGTCTATTTATTATGAAATTACCAACCAAATTGAGTATAAATCTAGGAACAGCTGTCTAAAAAAACCAATTTCGAAAAGTCTTGCCTCATTGAAAACCGCACGTCTAAAAAAAAACAACCTTTAATACGGGCAAGTGTACTCGAAGATCCCAATTTATTGGTTTGAGGTACGCAATTATTATATTTTCAAACGTAAACAAATAAGATCACGTGTTTAATGTTTGAAAATAATTATTTATAAACTGTTTCCATGACGACAAAATGAGCTTGTAATTTCTAAATGAGGTGTTTCTGTTTTTGTTAAATAAAACACGCGATTTTATTATTATCAATATGAAAATCGATTAGTTTTAATAAAAAATGAATGTGAAAACCAATGACGCATCACCTGATACGGCACACGGCGAAATCATTTATGATAATCAGATTAAATATTGACGTTTGAAACACGTTTATAGAATTATAGATTAAAAG